TATATATACAAAAGAACTGCGTTCGTCACTGAAAAGGAAAATGGACATTGCCAGCTAAAGCCAAGTACTGTAGTAAAAAGACATAATAGGAAGCACGTTGTTACCACCCTTGAATGCGCACCGAACTGCGTGTCGCCCTGACGGATTATCGCTGGCAAACGGCTCACTTCGGCTTCACTCACAATTCGGCGAGTCATCATCGTTGCTGTTGTCTGTCGCTGCGAGTCCGCAGCGAAGTGTTCTTCTGAGTTCATACCTGAAACGGGGGCACATACGCGATCACGACAAATATCCTTGGTAAGGATAACGGATTCGCGGTACACACGCAAGCACGAGGACATGCTGGACGGTTGAAACAGCAGCGAGCGAGATAGCTATTGAGATCAACTGCTGGAAACGCCAGCCTCTCAGGCACGTACTGCCCGCGGCGGGTCTTTCTTATTTGTCTGCGAAGAGACAAAACAACCCCGAATCCAGTCAACGAGATCGATATAATTAGCTTCGCTTTCTCTCTCGAGAAAGAGAGACTGGTCGGCTGGCCGACGTCCTTATGGTGGACTAGCTTTAGGGATTTAATGTTTCCTCTGCTCAACATCCATACGAACGGGAAATTTCTTTTAATGTCGGTAACTTTCTCTGTCGTTATCGGCCCAATTATGACGGCCCGCCAAAGAGGCGAGAGGCAACGCGTCTAACCAAAGATTGTATATGGATACATGAGACATACCATTGAAGACCTCATATACAGTTGGTCCGTATCGAGTGCTGCTTACAGTATTGCGATCGCTTCGACCTAGCTCACAGTTATGTATTATAGTGTGTATCTGTTATAAGTTACTTGCTAATTTACATCATTCACACCATTATAGAATACACTACGGAATAGCGGCACCGTACTCTTTTAGTAGCATACATACGAAATACATGCGCCAACAATGCCAGCAAGACGATTCATACTCCTAAACTGAAGATTTTTTTTATCAAGTATTGTTTCTCCGATCATTCGTGACCTCGTCGAGGCTGACAAACTACTCCAGTAGAAACGGTCATCACAAAACAGTTGAAGCTAAAGTCAAACATAAGATCAAAATAGCCGATGAATATTATCATATAGAAAATCGTTTACATCGTCACAGGATAAATTGATACAATCTCGTTGGCTGCGGGTTACTGACCAGAGTCTTACCTAGGCCACTTCTGCTCTGCCTATCTATCTACCTAGTATCTGCCCTCTTGACCGATCTTAAACGCGAAGCATTATCGCTAGACGTTGGCCTGCATGTGGACGTCGACCTATAACTTTATCTAGAAGTTGCACTAAATTTTTCGCCCAAACGCAAATATTCAAATAAGTTTGGTAGAAAATAAAGAAAAAAAAAACGGTCTGGCAAACCTTCCGTTCGTTGTTGAACGCCTCAGGCGAAATAGAATATGCAATGACTTCGATGTTGTCAATTCCGGCGTCATCCAGACAATTGCCGAAATGGGTAGAGCTTGAACCAACGGAAGGGTGACCAGCGAACAGAAAACATAATGGCTTTATTCAAACGCCCCATTGATATGCCCTCGCATGGCTCTAACATCAGAAACGCATATCGAACAATAATTAATAGCACAAGTAGCGTCGTCTGCTGTCGAGTGCGATTTTTTACGTTATCTTTTGAGCTTCTATGAAGAAAAAAAACACTGCGCAAATAATTTATTCCGTATGCCCAAAGGGGGCAGTCACCGAAGCCGTTTGCCGTGGCTGTTCTGTGTGGTGTGTCGAAAATTGCAAACTCCCGTCGCTGGTGTCTTTCTATTCGAGTCACGAACTCTCATTTCCTCCGTATCTGACAAGAGAGAAGCAGTAATTAACACAATTTCGACGGGGAAAACTGAGGGAACTGAAGAAGTAAATGCAAAATTTCCAATAAAAATAGCGTGAGAAACATTATTAGAGGTGAGCTATAGGACGCATAAAGAATCAGTCAACCCTTTACCCATTTACGATGTCTGCGTTACTCAGCTCGACACAGACAGCACATGTTTCAGTGCGATCAGTTCTTTTATTTTTAGAATATCTAAATATAGTTACTCATTCAGCGCCAGCCCTAACAAATCTACACTTAATACATCAAAACACAGTATTTAACTTGTTTAAATTGAATATAATATAATTCGTAATGAAATATGTGTAGGATAATTTGTTCCACACACGGAACTGAGCTTTCTGCATGTGTCGCATTTCTCTATAAACGAACTTCTCGATTTGTAAACATCCTTCGTATCAAAAACATGCTCCAAGCATTTAGCTCGTCAGATGAGGTTAAAACTTTTTGCTATCCGCGCAATCTGACTATTTCCGTATTTGTCTTCATCGAAGTGTCCTTCACCTGGTGACGCCATATCTCGCTCAGGGTTATTTGGCGTGACCAGCTGCTTTCTCCCGTAGCCGATACAGTCATCCTTCAGGTAATCTACACATTGACCTCGCACTAATCCACTAAATTCATTTTTTTTTTTTTATTTACTTGCTATTGATCTTGACATTGGAGTTTTAGCGATTCTGGTGGCTTACATATTAGCAGAGCTCAATTGCTTTTGGCGCCCTTCTCGTGTATACTGATATGTGAAAACCCTGCTTCTGACCTCTATGTCCATCATGTCCAACAAATTTACATAACACAGCATAAACATCATTACCACTGATCACACCTTCAGCGTTCATCTTCCACACCATCAGCGACGCCGGTATGCAAAGCAGAAAGACATCGCAGTGAAGAATGCATCAAGGCACTTCTTCTCTGGACTAACTTCTAGCACGTACTTGTGGGCAGGTGAAAGGCAGACCCAGCGGGGAACCTATCAGCATTCGATTGTACTGAAGATCTGCAGTAAGCGAGAAGAATGAGATAGCACGTTAACTAGTGTTACAACTTGGGCAATTTCTGCACGATTTCAGATAGTCGTTACGATTTCATTGACACCGAGCGTGCGCGCATCCTGAGCTGTTTGAGGGGGGTCAACTTCAACAAGCTTTGATTTCATTGAATACAGCTAATTATTTTCATCAGCATATGTTGGTTTTTTGTATTATCGTTTTTTCCAACTATAAACCTACTCCTGACCTCCCCCACCCCATCCCCCTTCATTACGTTCTTACGACTAAGATTGTATATTTAAAAGGCATGCTATATTACTTTCAGAATTGAAAACGCTAACACTATTTTTAAAATGGAGTAGTATGGCTAAGAGCTATATCTCCTTGTAGATAATGACCCAGTGGTCAAAATTAGAGACAGCTTCTTTTATACTTCCCAACCCCAACTACTTTCCTGACCCGTAAGTGTTTCTCTTTTTTGTTGCGCAACCGACATCTAAGCGAATTATTGCATCTTGCCTTGTAATATTGAGACAGACTTGTATTATTAGACATTATAGATTTCCTGTACCCGTTTCATTTAATCACTGTTAAAACGCTTCCTTGAGGTGGTGTTATACGTTTTTTTTGTTATCTCAAATGAGCAATAAGAACAAGACGGGAACAGTAATGGAGCATAGGCACTCTGGGTTCATTATCCACTGAAACAACAGGCCCAGTAACCAACAAGCGATAGAAAGGGGCATGGCATATAGTACTTGACACTGCTTAGCGCATTCCTTAGCCGTGGCAGATTTCGATGGAAAACAGCTGGGCCCTTTTAGATGGTAAACCCATTCCCCTAAAGCAAGCCCGAAGTAGAGCCTCGCGAATTAGATCCGGCGTGATTCTATATACATCGAGTAGATGCTTCGGGTCGGCTGCAAGTTAAAAGGCTTCCTTTTCCTTATTTCGAACATTTTGTCTATTGCTAACGATACATCGTGGATGCTTACTATGTAAAAAGTTCTCGTGTAGTTTTCCCGACATGATACGGATAAATAAAATGATAGGCTTTTGCCGCCGACTACAAATTTTTAGAAGCAACGCGGCTCGATTTAAGGTTTCCAGATTATGTCACTACTGACAATAATCTCTGGTCATGTATCGACACAAACGACGATTGGCTTATTATTTATTCAATATAGGGTACCAGACAAGAGACTATGACTTCAGGATAGCCTGATAGGATCGAATGGTGAAGTTATTCAACACTAAATCCTTGTTTCAGTGGTTATAAAAGGAAATACAATAAACAATTATTATCGTTTAGACCACCGTCATTTAGCTAGGGTACGTTACCAACATGTTGCTTTTCTAGCCGCCCTCCTTAATCCCTAGAGATCTTAAAATCATACGGAAAGCCAAATGTGTTGCTTTGAACACACATGAAAATCACAAAAAATACCGCGGGCCACAGCTGCAGTTTATACAGATACGTTAACCAAACCAGCGGTCCGTTACTACTGTTTGTAAGGAAATTTAGCTATAGCTTGAATCTTTACCGTATTCCATATCATTCACATGCACAAGTATAGAGTTTCCTGACGCTTCCCGTATTATCGCCACTCAAAATCACATACATCGCTGTAGTACGTCCATTCTGCACGATTACGTGTCCTGTTGAGAGCGGTCAACAAACGAAGCTACTTTTACTGCCAGTATCATCCTGCGACTGCAAACGCTTTCTCCAGTGGTTTAACCTTCCTCGTATTACCGTCACTTGCCATCGTTCCCCGCATCGTCGATGCACTTAATAATGATGCTAACCTGCAGGTGCCAGACGGTGGCAGTCGCTTGTAGCGAAGCTAGATTGTAACAGCAACATGATTGTTTGCCACTTACCAATTACTGCTACCACAAATACCTACCAGGTCTGTCCCACCTCTACCGCCGTGTTCTGCCTCTTCCTGCTACCGCCACTACCAGTTCACCGCATCTCCTGACCAACGTGGCCCCATTCTCCTCCAATCATCCTGCAACATCGCCCTCGACTGCGCCCACATCCGCTCCTCCGTGTCCCCCCCCACATTGGCAACAAATCATCGATGGCGTGTAGCAACAGCATGGCAGGATGGACTGTTGTTGTTATCGTAGCAATAGCAGCTGTCTCCGAAAACGAGAAACGGATATATATAGAAAAAGGGAAAGAAAGAATAAGGCTCAAGTATACACACAAAGAGAGCGAGAGTCGTTGCCTGCCGGAGAGTGCCGCTGGACGTGTACCCGGTCAGCCTCTCAGCCAGAGAGAGATGAAGCATCAGACAGCGATGGGTTGCTCATTGAAGACAGACGCAGGAGATTCGCGGCTTGCTGAGACATCGTAATTGGCTCACCTCGCCTAGTCCACGGCCTTCAGTCCTGCATAGACTTCAAACGGAGTCGGCTGCTGCACCGCCAATCGGAGCGCTGGGCGGAGCCTCCAAAACGGCCCGACCAATCAGCGATCGAGCAAGTTGTCGTTTGTCTGGAATGGCGGCGCGCGAAACAACGTCGAGATCCACACGCAGGGGTGTTTTAGGGACACATGTCGGTTATTATTTCACTGATTGAAATCACTTTGCAGTGATTGCCCGTTCGGAGTGACAGCGAGGGCGGCGGCTGCAAGACACGAAAATCCTGTAGCATCAGTGACGGCAAACGCACGTAACTCATAGCACGCAGAGTACGCGCGTGTAGTTTGGCCACGCGAAAAGAAACGATGGTTACCTATTTGAATGGTATTGCGAACGATAGAAGTATATTTACCTTACTCAATTACTAAATTGATTGAACCTATATATTTTGAGCGTAATTGTAGTCACATGTTTGCTCTGTCGAACAGCTTTTCCTGCAGTTCAACTTGAAAACTTAAAAGTTAAGAAAAAACGTGTTAGTCCTCGATTAAAACTTGTGCAGAGTGTACTCTAACTGTTTGCTGTGTGCGGGAAGGTTCAAATGACGACATCGTGAGAGGACCATGGAGAAGTTAAAAGCGTCAAAGGTAGACTGTCACGAGATGCCGCATCGAAGTACGTTTCTAATTCGGGATATACTTGCGGCCGCTCAAGATGGTCAAACCAAGAGGGAGCTAACTGCTACAATTGGATCGCAGGAGAATTTTCTACATAATGAGAGCAACGACGGTAAGCAGAGTAGGGATTTTTTCATTGGCACACGTTGTGACATACTACATTGATATAAGTTGTTCATGATGGATTACTTACCAAGATAGCCATTAGCAAGTCTATATAGACGGTGCAACATGAAACGAAACGAGACTAATGAGGTAAGTTGCGAGCTACAAGTTGCATACCGTCTGATCAGCCTTAAATGTGCAAGCATTGAACTTTCACATGCCAATGTTAACTGCCGATACTGTTACTATTTGTTTATTTCTCTCATTTTTATACTACGGGTCGTCTTGATAAAATTGTCGTAGATTAATAGTGACAGCCTTCAACCTGAAAAACAAACTTTCCTATTAAAGTAGTGCCGATAAATGTAGTTCTTGGGTCTAGTAATAGTATAGTTAAAAAATCCTCAGCTTTTTAATTTAATTAAAATTGAGTAATTTCAATTCATATGGTGTCGATTTTTCATTAGCGATATGAAGCCAAAAAAATAGATAGTTATAGTCGAAATTTCAGTACTAACGTAAATTAGGTACACTTGATACTTTGGAATGGGTTCATAAAGTAGCAAACGGTGGCTATAAGCTTAATTATAGTTTAATTTTATCGTTCGTTATACTAATTTATCCCACATAACTTGAATCTAAGCTAGAATTGCTTCTCTATGTAGGGTTATAAGCCGTTTGTGCTGAGTTTAAAATGTCTCTTCAAAGGATTGCTATCCTTGGAGCATAGCTAATGGGGAAAATACCACCATTGAAACTGAGACAAATTTCAGCAACTGCTAAATACAGGCTTCAATAGTGCTCCCGACTCGGTTGAGGTTATCAGACCATAAAACACAGTCTACGAAGTTTCTAGTTTTATTTTTTAGCTTAATTAAACCTATCAGGAAAAGATCAGCAGTCAATATACGCGTATGAACGAGATAAGCCTCTACTTATTTGTACCTGCCATCAAAAAAATTCTATTTCAACCGGAAATAGCGTTGAAGAATAGGCCCATCCGGCCATAACTATAGGATCATGCATTTCCTAAATTTTTTATCTAAATTCGACAAATCTACAATTTAAATGAACGTATTATATTTAATAGGTTTTATGTAAGCTAATATGTCTTTTCTCTAATAATACATCGATGGTTCTACGCGATAGCATAGGAAACAAATTCAAACTGTAGGTAGTACCGGAAATCACTGGACGTTCTATATTCATGTACAGATCGACGATAAGTCATTGATTTTCCTCGGTATAACCCTGGTCAGTAGCATCCACCACATATCTATTTTGTGTTCCCTTTGGATGAGCGCTCCGCGTGATTGTTATCTACCACGTTTTGTCATTTATGTTTATGATTTGGCATCTCGAGTCTCGATGTCAAGGCATCCGCGGACGCTATACATCATGCAGGCCAAGAGGCCAAGCATGTCCTCAGCACTTTGCAACTCAAGCAGCGGAAACAAAGGCCGCAATATTTCAAGCAAGCTCGCATACAGCAGCAGATCGACATTATACATATATATGTACCGATAGATAAACCCAGCCGTCAGGCCTAGGCACCAGCTCGTGACAGTCCTTAGTGAACACTCTAACATCTCCTTTAGCCTGCTGGCTCCCTCAGTAGCTTTTGACCTCTGCTTCTCCGCAACTCCATGCATCCATGTGGGTGTGTGTGTACATTATAGGTATAATTTGACGAATTAATTCATAAGCCATAATCATTTCGCTCTTCCGACCCTCGTTCTTGCCTTCTTCAACCTGGTGGGAAGTATCGCGCATGGATTACTTAACGAGTAGTGAGCCTCAACAGTGTGTTTGGTCCCTGCATTGAACGAAGCACGCATCACGAGGCTCGTGCCTCGTGGTCTTTCCTCGAGGAAAGCTGAGTGACGGCGCGTGACTGACTATTGATTCTGACTATGCAAATTTCCACTAGTTCAAATCGAGCCGAAGTGGCACATACTTCAAATCGATTCGAGTCACCATTCAACCGAGATCTAAATATATAACTTCAATAATTAATGCAAAACTGGAGTTCGTACCTCTAATTGGAAGGGCAGCTTGTTCTTCTTCTTTAAACTAGCATCAGTTATTTTACATCTTAACCACCTTATAAGTGTCCAACTCGCAAGGAGCGACGAAATATGTACCCAGGAAAGTTGCGAACTCAGTATGTTTTTCAGCACTAATCATGCTTCCTTCCACAAAAAATTTTCATATGATCATATTTCAACTTCTCTTTCATCTGACATTTAGGCCCATGAGAGAAAAACTCGATGGGTACCCCTTAACGGGCCTTTTTCAGTTGAAAACTCAACCACGTTAGTAAGTGCGAGAATTTTTCTCTACCTTAATATTCCTTCCAACATAATGACGTGGCCGCGTAAATTTAAACGGTTACTTATTAGAATTACAGAATTAGATAGATGACATATATGTGTACATATATGATACAGAAACTATTTTCGAATAACTGCTCGTCCATTATAGCGCACAGATTCGACGGCTGGCGTCTAGCGCTAAATTTACCTCTGCTTTATGACCATGTTTTACTGACAGGAAAAAGAAATCGATCTGCTTTAGCTACGAACCGTGCATTGCTACGTTATTTCAATATTAGGTATTACAAAGGTGACCGTTTCATTACTGAATTGAGAATTGGGGGGTAATGGTCTTGACAGCACCAAGTTGGGGCTGAGCCCTGAACTCGACCTACTTTAGATAGGGTAACCCGGTGGTGTCCAATTATGCTTCAGTATTATTTGGCCAATTCTTCCAAAAACAAATTGGATGTTTTTTTCTTTTCTAACGTTATTTCTATATCGAAAATTCAGGTGTAACAAAAGTGGTTTCTGGGTTAATTTTGAACCTTTTAAATCCAAATCCTATTCAGCGCCTTCTAGTTCACCTCACGGAAGTCATCCACAGATTCTTCAAATGCCACATGATAACTGGCAATAATGTAGACTTTAGATTTCTGGGAAAAAAAAGAAAGATTTGTTATTGACGCCTAACCTCACGTAAAATGATTAAATAATAGTTAATCTTCGCTCAAATTGCGAAAATGACGCATTATTGGCTGGGTATTTCATGCAGATTATATTTTATTCTAAATAAACAGCCAGATTTCTCTAGTACTAAAGGTAACGGATGGCCGCATACCTGTTACCACAAACACCCTGGTGAAGTGTAACCGTGAAGTAGCTTGCAGCGCATTAGTCACAGAGAGAGGGACCCGAACACATCACAAAATCGGCACATTTTGCTAAAAGTCGGACAGCCAATATGTCAAAATGAAACGCCTCTGAACTAATTAAAAATTGGATATACTTAAAGTAGTAAATAAAGAAAATATACAAGTTTAATTTAGTGATATTTATAGTTTCTATGGCAGTCAAATTTTTATATTGAATAAAATCTAGATAAAAATCTTATATTAGAAGGGAACATTAGAATCTACACCCATTCTTGCCGGTGTTTCGTGGATATTTTTCCTCGTGAAAAGTACGAAGGATAAGCCTGACAATTATGTGAACAGTAGCTGCATGGACTAGTTCATTGCTGATAATTAAAATTTATTTCTCTATGGACAACTTAAACTTCAGTGATACAGCTCTTGAACCCAAGCTAAGGTGGAGCGCGACGCGAATTCAGCACGGACGCAAAACGCAGAGGGATATCAGTATACAAGTATTTGGATAACTGTGTTTCAGCGATTCCGATAACCATATTCGGGAGTCTTCGTTACCTCAGACACTTGTCTGATCAGAAGATCCTCATATGGAGAAGTCAACCATTTTCTGCTCATAGCTTTCGGTAGATAAAAAAGAAGTTCTCGAAAGACTTGCGGATAAAAAACTGTATCATAGTAAACTTTCCTGTTACGCTTCGTAGAGCTAAGGTTTCGAAGACTAAATACACACTTGTATGATTCTTTCGGAGCAAACAAAAACCTTCACCAATTCGTGGCATTCAAAAGGCCTTACATGTCTTCTACAATTACTAACCGAAATTCAGATCATTTTCATATGTTTACATTTTGATATAATATAGAATGAAGCATTGACTCCGCATTGTCGTATGTAGTGGTATAAATTATATAGATACGAGCTTTTGAATCACGAGTTCTATAGAAACACAGTTATAAGCACTGGCAATTTCGACTAATCGTACACCCAGGAAGTACCACATTCGGGACCCATTTTGAATGGATGACTTAATTTTGGCCGGTTGTTTCATCTTGATTTGTAAAAAAATTACAAGTTCATTCTGGGTCTCGAGGTATCTTGGCAGCCCCTTCTATCGTAACCTGATGATGACTGCGGCATAAAATTCTGACCGCCATTACCACCTGAAGTTCAGTTGGGAAACCTTACCCCTTAAAATACGACTTAAACTACCTTTCGATATTAAAGCAATCACTCCTAGCTTAAAACCTGTAACAAAAAATGGTGACTGAAGATCAAAGAAGGAAATGTGAGCTTTAGTAAACCTGTTCTAAGAAAAGTCTAAATGCTCTCAAAAATTAGTTGCAAGGCCTCATTGAAGAACCTTGTTTTACGTACTACCAAACGCAATTAGGCATTTTTTCAAGTGGCTGGTTCATGCACGGATCTGAATCTAGACATCTTTCTGTATTTCTGAAATATGGACGCAAACACGTTTCCCGCACCATCAGGGGGGCATATGATCATTAAAAAGGCTACTAAACTTTCAATTTAGCTTTAAAATAAACCATTCAATTACTCGACACATGATGAACGCAACAACTTTTATGTTACTCGACGTTGAAATGAGGTTCCGTCCCTCAGTGAAATTCCGATTTCTCCGAAAAGCTGGACTATACTTAATATATGGATCACACCAAATCACCATATATGAGGCCTACAAAAGTGACAATATCTACTCTATATATAATAGATAACCTTTCACATGTTATAGATTTTCTCGTATGAAACCCCTTTTGTTCCCGATAGTGTAAATCGTCCTGAGGAACATCCTGGGTGGCATTCCAAGTTTGCCACGCAATAGCAGGCATTTTGTAGCATTCAGTTGAAACATTTTTAAGCAGTAATTAGTCAAACGGTAAACGGATCCGGCACGATTAGGGATTATAGCTATGAGCACAACGGATTCGAGTATGTCGATCCGTATCAGTAGTTAAAGCAACGACATCTAAAAACCTGATTTCTGGAAACAAAGGCGAACCATTTCTAACTAAGTTAGCAAGTTCTCTTCGTTAAAAAGGGGTTGTAGTCAATAACAGCATTGTAATATAATGAACAGCTAACAACGATGCGCCCCGTCTTTCGACACAGCCATTATATTTTATGTTGTTAATATTGGTACTGTTCATAATTACACCCAACTTACTAACTTATTTGCATCAACCAAGTACCCACTTTATGAAGTGTGAATAACTTGAGACAGACATGGACAGTTAGTACCGTTACTTGGCTGCTTGGTCGATCGGTCTGGCGCCTTCTGCCACCTTATCTCCCCTTTGATGATGTCCTGCTGTGATTCTAATTGGCTGATTCGTCGCTCAACCCACAACCGAAACAGTGTTACTTTAACTTCAGTAACTTACAACAACGTGCAACATCAATTCTGCAAGGAGACAGGCGACGATTGTGATCATAAGCCGCTGTTTCTGACGCTGCTGTCGGCTGAAAGTCAACGGTAAAGTGCAGCGAATGCAAGCGCCTGTTATAATAACTGGGCCCACACGCGCCTTCCCAAGTAATAGCGTAAAGTCTCATAGAAAGCAAAGAGAGTCCACAAACTCGTGCTGTACCCGTGGGGGCTATAGGCAGGTAATATTCTTATATCATTGTGTACGAGGGAGTGCCTGACGACGTAGTTTCTATGCAAATTGCAATTAGAGGAAAGCAGGCCCGCAGGAAGCGAACAAACAAACTGATGGTAACAAGGCAGGAATTTTAAATCAGACTTAGCAAGCAGTTAGCGCCTAGAGTTGTCACGTTGAAGCAACACAGTGTGTGAAATTATTTAGAAATTATAAAAAAATACCACAGTAGATCGCGTAAAAGATAAAACAGCTTAGTACATGACACACAGTCGTGTAACAGATTCAATGGTCGAGATTAGTGTGCTGAAACAGACTACGTATTGCTTGGCCTTACAAGGTCGGTTGTCAGGTGTGTCCTTCAACGAGGCTCAAAATCGCCATTTTTGTGGTGGAAATGGTTATCTCGAAAGGTCTTCTAACTAGTATGCGTTGGAAGAACAATCGAGACATATCTTGAAAGAATCGGAAATAAAAAGGTGTAAATCTCGGCTCTCACTCAAACCGTGTGCTTGATAAAAATCGTCGGCTGAAAACAAAATGTAATTGGACCATTAACTAGCGCATATAAGGAGGGTTGTGATTTTACCAACAGACAAAATAGAATAAAACTATTAAAAGTTTATCAGCCATCTACTATCGAAACAATTTATTAAATACATTGATAGCTCGTCTCTAGAATAAAAGCCATCTTTTCTAACTTGCTATGATTGGGCACATTCTGTTTAATTATACATATGATTTGAAGCTCTCTTTATTTGAGCAAAGCACGGTTTCGTAGGTTGAGCAGGTTATCTTGGTAAACTCGAATCAACGTCCAGAGCACCCCAATCGATCGAAAATACCCTTCACATACGCGTGTGAAAAATACAGGGTATTTTAGAAATATCTTTGTATCTTAATTAAAGCAAAAAGAAAGACAGCGGGAATGTTTCGTGTAGCGATTTGTATTGGACTTGCATATAGATCTCGAGACCGCATTGCTAGAAAAAAAAAATGCCCAAAAATAAGCCCGGACCTCAGATTCGATCAGACTTACGTTTAGCGTACAGTTATTTTTCGTAAAGCATATAGAATGCTTTTACCATTATACCAAAATGTGAATGTCCTGACAGAAGGGTAGCACTTAATTTCAGAGTGCGGGGATATCGGTTCGTCGGAGTCAGATATAGACGTTGGCCGTGAAGACCCGGACGATGATGTGAAGTCTGCTGGGAGCCACTGTCATCAGTCGCATGCAGCCGATTCTTCATCGGCTCAAAAGAAACCACGGCGAAGAAGAACAGCATTTACGCAGGCCCAACTCGCCTATCTTGAGAGAAGGTCAGGTTCAAAAATGTGTCTGTGTTATGACATCTTGCTCTGTCTAACTACTTCTATTTATTACTTACTCAGTTAAGAGTTTTTCTTAATCTACTTTTCCTTATGACATATGTGCAAACACTATTATAGCATTAAAGGACTTACTTGTGTGCAGCTTAAACACCAAAAAAAAATTATAATTCCACACAGGAATGTCGTGTGACTCAATAGCCGACCATCCAAATGGCTACTACGTGTTACAGATTTCGAGCTCAGAAATATTTGAGTGTCGCGGATCGAGGACAGGTTGCAGAAACGCTAAATCTTTCTGAGACGCAAGTTAAAACCTGGTATCAAAATCGAAGAACAAAATGGAAAAGGCAAACGAATATGCGGATTGAACATCTCAGACAGGGGCAAGGAGGGCTTGTAACGCCTGAAGAACCCGGGCTGGAAGCCGATCCTGACGAGGAAAGGACATCGCCCCCAACAAGACATGTAAGCGATAAGCGAAAAAAAAAGCTAATATATTCAGGGCCGTTTCCGGGTGTCAAAAGAGATGTCCCGCTTGTACAGACAATTATGACTTCAATTCGGGCTTCCAGTCGTCTTTTTTCAAAAAATAATTCGCCCGCAAGTGCATCTTCCAAAATTCCTTTTCTAAATTCCCCAATGGGTTTTCTATGGTATAGTAAGCAGGAGTAAAGCGCTGCATGTAGAAGCGTTGTAATCCAGCTAGAACACGTACAGAGAAAAATTCTAGAAGGTGATAATCCAAAAATCTAAAAAATACGAGGTTTCAAAACGTGCCCAAGCCAAAGGGTCCAAAAGACACAATAGGTCCATTAGAACTTGTCTGGGCTACCTTATCGGCGTCTCTCGAAGATAATCGCTCATTCGTCTATCGAAATTCAGTGATTAGCTTAAATGGATCTTTATCTCATTTTGACAAGTCTTGAGCCCATTCAATTTTATCCCGATTGTAAAGCTTTGTTTTTGTTAATTAAATAAGTTTTGATTTAAATTGAATCGAGCAATTTTTTGAATTTTACAAGGGGCTCGTCTAACTCGAATACATTAGATAATAGATCTTTGCTCATGTTTCGTACACGAGTTTTCTGCTCTTGCCGTCATGAGTTCCCGGTTTGTTCTCGAAACAACTAGCTTTCTCCTAGAACAAAATCGGGAACTCATAAAGGCATGAGCGCCGCCTCATAAGAGCCCCGAAATTTGTTCTGGGTCATCTCGAACACGTTCTATATATGTTACAAGTCAGCCACAATGAATATACAACAGAATGCAACTCCTAGTAAATGAAAAAAGGTCGTAGATTCTTGGGTAAAGGCTTCTTTAGATTTCCGCTATTTTAGATTAAAAAAATACAAGCATCTAGTGTAACTTTAACGCCCAAATATAATTCGTTTACTGTTCTTTAGCTATATATATATATATATATATATATATATATATATATATAGACGTAAGTGGTCCAGAGAGAGATTTCTAAGGAGCTCGTTTTTCTTTATGTATTACTTTGCTTGCAGCTAGCGTTTCTACTTCCGGGCGAACAACGCTCTTCTGGATCTTTGGTACCCCCTCATATCCGTAGCTGCTTCTTGCCCCAGAACATGAACAGTATCTTCACTTCCGTATATATGACAAACCTTCTCCAGGGACATCTGCGGCCTAAAGAACGAGATATGATATAGACAATGGCTAATGCAAAAGAGTTCTACTAATAGAAAGCATCATCTTCATCACAGTTCTTCCCGAGAAGAAGCGCATCAGTTAAAAAATTTGGTTATTTTTCCTACGGTTAGACAGGGATAAATTACATTTGAAGTAACCAAATTCTGCTACTATATATATATATATATATATATATATATATATATATATATATATATATATATAAATACTGGTTAAACTCAATCACTAGATCACTACGTCTCGCAGACAAGAGACCTTAATAAATGTTGCTTAATAAAGTGTCATATCAACAGTTGCACTACCAAAAAGTGCCCTTTCTGTGTATATTTTTTAGAACCCTCAGTAAGTTTACTCTCATATATATTACTTGCGGAAGCAGAAAGGAATTAGTTTAATATGACTGCATATTCATCATTTCGATTTATGCGGTGAGATCCATTATTTAGTCAGATTTGGAACGGTGCTAGATAAAACCTAAATGTTCCAAGTAGAAGGTTTAGTGTTGAATTCAATTTTGGATTGCCAACTAGTTGCATCTATACTTTGGCTTCTATATGTCCGATGTTGATTCATGTACCTATTCTATACCACGAACATAAGCGACTCGCGGGAAATCAACCCATTTCATTACAATTATGACCCAGTCATGTACACACTAGACCATTTTATTAATCTCATGAGTATTTCATATATAACTCTACATACACGTATAAAAAAAAAAAAATATATATATATATATAGTTAATCCGACGCTAATTAGTGGTAGGTATGTTCTCTCTACAGATGATGCGTTTCATATACAACTGAAAGGGTGCCTGTCGATGGGTTTTACGGGAGAGGGGATGAGACAAATACTGGGACGGGTGGGGTACCATCCACGTCTAGTAGAACATACCCGCCATCGTTCTCTATATTGTCCTATATAGCCCGTGTATATATACTATTCAAGTATATTCAAATAGTACACCGAAATGTATACAACATTCGCTTGTCCTTACGCTTCGTTCTGGCTAGCGCCACAGGCCTTGGTAGTCGAATTGTGCCGGCTGCCGCTTGAGCGAACGCACGGAGTTAAGAGGAAAGTTATTGCACACACACATGCACACATCTAGATAGAAATGATAAAATGTAGAGATGCACATTTTAGCAGAAGATCTATTTCGAGTGTGCTTGTATTAGGTACCATATTTTGTTTATTGCAAGCTTTGGCCACCAGACGCGCTGTTGACTCAAAAAAGGTAAATCATCGATTGTTTGTTGTTCTTGCAATTATTCCTATCGTGTATAGAAGTGTTCGCCCAAGATTTGTTTCGTGATGTTTTGCCTATTTTGTTCGCATTTGTCAGGCACATAAAGGAACCAGGCTGTCGACGCGAAGCTGAAAAATCCAGTTGTTTTTTTTTTGCCCCGTTTGTACAATTTGACAGCACTTTTAATGTCATCACTGTCATTCATAGTGCGCTATTATTTATACCAGTGTGTACCAGTGTGCGTTATCCGTAATGTACATGCTGGCTCGGTAGTCTATGTTATCGTATAAAGCCAGCTTCTATTGAACGTCAATGGCACCATTGTAGTGCATGAGTGGCAATGCAATATACAGAGGTACCAGGGCCATGTCACTGAACAAGACAATTCTTATTTTGTGCTCGTTGAGACGCAACCGCCTTTTGACGTGCAGCGGCAAGTGTGCTACTTTGTACATAGTTAATTCGGACACCGCCGTATTCGCGTCGTTCAGGGAGTCGATAGATCTCAGCCTCGTCCTCAGTACTAGAAGTGGATTCGGTACTTTCGCAGGTCGAACAACTGCTATCGTCACGATCCCTTCTTGACTTTGATGAGCTGCGGCTTTTGTGTGAAGATGATCCGCTCCTTGATCGGCTACCATGCGACGAACTGCGCAGGCTTTTGCGGGTTTTGCGTTCTCTCGAACTCTCGCCATCGCAACGATCTTCCGATCGGCTGCGGTGCCGTGACGCATGTTCGCCACCACCGCTACCGCCGCCGCCGCTGCCATGCTTCCTTGCAGATGACGATGATAACGACGACGATGACGAAGAAGACATCGTAGACTTCTTCTCTGCTCGGTTCTCGCATTCGCCCTCTGACTCCGAGCTGGACGAACGTCTCCGATGCCTCCTACGGTGACGTCGGGTAGTGTTTCTCGAGGCAGACTTTTGCTCTTCATCGGAATTGGCATGGCCAAGGCTGGGATCGAAACGCACCTTCGATTTCGACTCGCGTCTCATTGAGCGCCGTTCATCAGAGGGATGCACCCGATCTTCGGTATGTACCTCGGCCCGAGTTTTAACCTGCCTTTGAAGAATGCCGTTAGGGGGTCCGATCGATTTCAGAATAGGTGGGCTGGGTAGCTGTTGAGGTGTGATTGGCGACTCGAGTTCAAGAGCCTCAGGAGGTTGAACAGATGGTCGGTGCGGGTTCATCAGCGGTAATGAGAAGTTCTGACGTACTGAACCAGGGCCGGCAGAAGCTGCTTGAAGACTTGTTCGATGGACCTGAAAGGCACGAAGTATTTGAATAGTTATATAATATGAGTTTTAATCCAATGGGATAAATGAGCGTTGAGAGAAATTATTGCTCAGAATACACACGTAAACATATTAAGCCGCATAGAGTAAACGCCAATTTGTACCTTTTATGTATATATATACGTATAGAAAATTTTGTTACCTAAAATAATGCCTGTTATTCACTCTATTATGCTGTTTCACTGTATGATACTAACTGAAGGTCCGTTCTGAATTTCTTGGACAACTTCAACGAAGACCTGATCGCTTCCAGCCAGTAGGTCCTTCAAGCAGAGGTCGCTCATATCGAGAGGCTCTCGTCTCCTCGTGCTAGGTGTCATAGCCTGCGCGGAAGTTACAGCCATATCGCGCTCGTTCATCGCTTCTTCCTGCCTTCCATTCTTATAGACGATACTGCGTACACTCGGAACATTATCGTAAGTTTGGTCTGCTACGTGCTGGAAATCTTGCGGGTTACTATAAATCTCTTGACTTTGGTTTAGATGCTGCACATGCCCGTTGTGCATCTGACCTGGCCCATTCGTGTAGAGATCCTGCGATGCAGGATAATTACTGTACAGATTACTTTCGAGATTGTCGCAGTGAGCGGCCTGTGTCATTTGAATATGGCCGCTGCTAAAGTTTCTTGGCAACGTGCTTCCATGAAAATGCTCGGACGGCCGCCGTCTTAACAATGTATTACTATATTCTACTTCAGGTAACGCATTAACCGAGCCACTGCGTTGAAGGTTCGCATAGTGTTCATTAAGCGAGCCTTCACGAGTCAATTTTGTCTTCTGTTTTGCACCAAAATTGACCTCTGCTAACGAGAAATCGGCCATATGCTTACGCTGTGGTGATCCTTCAACGCCTTGATGAGAGTAGACCTGCTTATATTTTGTTGGCGTATCGATTAGCGAGCTCGGCCCGCTTCGAGAAGTGGTTCGTGGCAGGCTATTTGACGAGAGATCGGTAAGTGATCTTCGGCCTAACCCGGGCGAACCCTCCCGTCGCGGCAAAGTTGGTGACAACGACCGCATAGGGCCACCCTGTGAACTGCCTGAGTGCTGCAATCCCGCGACGGTGGGCTGTTGGGGCTTCTGTATGTCCCGGCGTCCCTGTGCAGGCGAGTTTCGTGCCGCCGGAGAGACCGATCCGCTGCTGACGTCGCCAAGAATTCGCTGTGCCTGCGTGCAATTGCTAGGCGAGTTCTTGCCAGCGTTCGGCAGCGCCATCTCATGGCGTCCGTTGATGCCGTTAGGGGACTGACGTGCCATTGGGGAGAGTACGTTTGGTGCCGTATGAGTCGTTTTATGCTGAGGGGTATACTCAATGTTACCTTGACACCCGCGCAGCTGACTCTGAAGGCGGCTTATAGGAGGGGGTAAGCCATTTGAGTTATACGCGGCCACGTTGTATGGCGGTGGACCTGGTCGTTGAGGCTGGGCCACCGTTTGCTGCACAAGCATCTGATGTTGCTGCTGCTGCTGTGCTTGATGCTGCTGAAGAATTTGCTGCTGCTGATGTTGTTGTCCACGTGGATCAATCAGTGCTATTTGTTGGCTGGCGTTGAAGCTCTTCTCCGATGAGGTGTTTGGGGAAAAGCTCGCCCCGAAGTTCCGCAACGGTTCACTATGATTGGACATAATCGAAGGCGAATAGTTTCGCTCCAACATACGCTGTGAATGCACGTTATCCGATGAACTATTGGCTAGCGGTGAGAACGAGCCTGGCGTTACTTTGCGAACTGTTTCGGGAACGTTTGATATGCCAGGAACGAAAAGTCCAGTCGGCGTATGCATGCCACTAACAGCGTCTTTCGGAGATAACGCTGAGCTGCCAGTTGGGCCATTCTCTGTAGAAGAATTCTGGCTAGCAAAATTCCTAACAGAGTTGGACCGATGTGCTCGACTATTGGAATTGCCTGCAATGTTCAACGTATCATACGCCTTATATTCATGTGGTGTCAGTGGTAAAAATCTAGGACCATTACGAGTTGGGTGGGAATTAGACGCTGCGAATGGGGCGGTGCATAGTAATAGATTGTAGTAACGATACTCATGTAGGTGTTGACCTGAGCATGTTGAAAACTTACTTCTGCTACATTCGTGCGAGCAATAGATGAGCCCCTTCTTTGGTAGAAATGGCCGGCCGAGTAGAGACATTTTGCAACACGAGCAGCGAAAGCACTGCTCCGTCGCGTGCCAGTGTTGACCGTCGAGAGACATTTGACCTTGATCGACTCCGACGGGTCCACCACAGGTATCGCAGAATTCTGTTATTATACATACATACATATATAATGTTATCAACTTGAATAGAATGGCGATAGAAAGGCTGACGTATTATCGGGTATAGGATGATGTCGCGGGTGCAAATCAAGCAGCGCTTGCAGCCAATGCCGTTGGACAGAGGCGCATTGTATACAAACTATATATATATATTGTTTATACGTAAGTTCTGTACTAACCGGCAAAGATTGCATCGAAACAGGCGAGACAAAATGGTCGATTGTCTCGCATAATATAGCGTTGTCCACCAAGCTGCTGGTCGCACTCATAACAGCAGAAATGACTCATGTGCCAGGTGAGCCCTTCAGCTTCGGTGCACTCGTCTGCGAAGATAATCTCGTCACAGGCGCTACAGCGAGGCTTCAAACTCTCTGCATGATGTCGACCGCAATAAAGCGCCCCATCCTTCATATAATAGATGAGGTCTACCAACAGTTCCTTACAGATTGAGCACTGGAAACAAGCCGGATGCCAACCAATATTTGGACCAGACCTCGACGCAAACACTGCCATATCGCCGCCGATGATATAGTCATTACACTGAAATTCAACATCGCAAACAATAGCTTGAAATAGAGTTGCTTTCAATATTCCCCCACGCACGTGTTTAACGAGAAAAAGAAACATCCGCTTGACGTGTTAGGCCACAGATGCTTTTTGTTGACTACGCGGTCTGTGTTTTCATATATACCCGGAACTAAAGATAAAACGTGTTAAAATTATAGAAAATCAATTAAAGGTTGACATTTACGCATGCGCAGACGATCTGTAGGTGCGGAGAGACGGGCAGCTGGCGGACGGTGCCTCGACCTAGGGAATCACGTTTTCGCTGGGCAGAAAATTGTCGAAGCTCTCGGCACTCCTCTTCCGATAGGCTCGTACAGTGACGAACGTCCGAGTCATGGGCCGGCAATTGCTGAATTAACTGTTTCATGCGATACTTTTCTCCTACCGAATTTACATAGGGAATCTTATCTTCTGGCAGAGACGAAAAGTATAGATGTACCTAAAGGTGCCAATCAAACGACAAAACACATCCAATATATAGACCGAATTAGTACAGTTAGAAGAACATTAACTATACCCCTCACTTCGGGAAACTATTGTGCAGCATCACATGTATATTGTATGTATCACATGTAACTTCACTGCGAGTTACCTAAAAGCAGCGTCATACAGAAATAAGCTCGATAGGAATACAGTCAACCCAAGTATACAATGAATAAAAACATGCGCAACCGTACCTGAGGTTCCTCCGAGACGCCATCAAAGGATCGACAATTTTTCTAATTGATTCTTTTGAATAAGGATGCGAATAATATATGTGAAGTGAGAATAACATTATCAAATAACGTTGATAACGGTGATTCTAGTCCGTTTGTTACAGTTTTCTGTCTGCAAAGCATATACGTATATATTTTACGCGTCTTTAGATCCATCATGTTTTACGATCTGCGTAATAGCAGCCCCTGAACCCTTCTGTGCACAGCGCCAAATTATGTCTGAATAAAGATAAATTTCAATCGGATTAGCACGTCCATCAATCTATCGTATTGCTGTGTAGCAAGGCAATAGCAAAATTGTCCGGTGGGCTATTGTACATATTGGTCAGGACAGCGCATAAGTCAGTCTTAGCACCTCGATCAGGTCAGAACAGAGCAAAATTCAGTTCATATTGAAGAGCAATCGAGAATAATTTCGAAATTTTATGAAAACGCCTGGCAAAAGGTTCACGGCGTAATGACTCGAAGACGAAGTATCTCGAACATATCGAAAAAGTTCGAACTGTACATTTCTCTTATTGACTTACATGAATCTAGATCCCTGGGGTGGCTTCTCTGCCGCATACCTCAAGCTGCAACATTAAATCACTATTCCATTTATGATTGTGAGCGGTTTTAAGGTAATAGTTGACGCGCGAATTGTCATGTTGCCTCCACCAGCCAGCCAGCCAATCAGCCAAACGGCAACAGTCAATGAGATACGCTCGTTAACACTTTCTCAATAGATTATGGCACAGTTCGTTCATTCTAGGTCACAGTGCGGAATCAGAATTGTTGATATGAAGGACTGTGCCGGGAACCTTATGAAAGACAGGCGTTTCTCCTGCTGATTTAAAGGAAGGCACCAAGACGTATGCTTTTGGATTCAAGAAAGATTGCAGCAAGAAGTACTTAAGCAGAGTGATACATTCTATTGATGAGGAGAAAGTGCGTACTGAGCTAGCTCATTCAAGTCGGCGCTCACGTCCACCATAGAGCTTCAATGCTGAGGAACAATGATGAAGTCACCAAATCGTAATTGATGCTCTATATACAACTTATTATCGTCAGCACTGCTTCCACGGCAATTTTTCACAACAGTAATAATAGCGTAGCGTCGTGATAGCGATCACTCACACTAGCTGAAGGCTGAGGGCGGGGCAGGGGGTGCAAGATCCAATTGTTTGACTGACGGTAACTGGCTAATTGCAAACTCCTTGACTAACTCGTATGTTCGCCCATTAACACGGGGACACTTTCGCAGGTAGCGATCACAGTGTCAAGCATCGATGCGCATGTATACGTAGATCCAATAAAATGCCCGATATTTCACGATGTGGTAATGGCTCGAGGCGGACGCACGATTATGGGGTGTCCGTCATAAGCTAAAAAGGTAAAGGTCATGATATGATGATGGTGCCTACCATCAAGCAGGGTAAATAACGCAGGGCCCATAATGAAAAAATAGTTGTGATAAGATATCGAAACGTTCTCATAGTATGAGAGCATATATGACGCATACGATGGTGGTAGGCCACAGGTCGTAGTCAGCCGCGTCCGACTACCTGGACAGTGTATAGGCCATATGAAACCATTCCCTGAGTAGCCGAAGCCAAGCGAGACTGAGAGCTTTCATCTGCAAACCACCCACTTCCCTATGCTTCCCTGGAGAGCCATTGAATGCCAGTTGTCAATATTTTGGGTTCAGCTGTCAGCTGTTCCTGTTGCGTTCATCTTCGCAGACAGACTCGTTTTATGAGCGGTAGATAAGTATCGATTTATATTACAGCCTGATTTCCTTTTTAGGAGATGGTGGTTTGAACGTGATGCTATGGCAAGAACCGTTCGGTCGCTAGTTCAGACCTATGGTAAATACCAACTGACAATATGCAATCCCGTCAACGGTATATCGGGCGAGTAGTTGCAAACGTAGCAGCTAAACAAATAATATCTTGTACAATTGTCATTCACAACAAATGGCATCTAGCCGGCTCTAGTGGGGGACTTCTACTACCGTAAAAATTAATATAACTACCACTGCCGCTGAGGGTCCCAGCCATAACAATCAACTAAAAATAGAACGACAATCATGCCAGACCTCGATCCCTTCTTGTTGTTAGTTGTAGTGTCATGTCCAAACATTGCTTGTGGCCACCATCAGTTACAAGCAATCGACAAGAATTTGCTTTCGTTTGCTATCCAGACCTATTCAGTCAGGTGACTTTGCTGCCCAGTCGACTGTCGTCCGAATGGGTCTATTTCTTTTCCCGATATTTAGAAATCGCTATAGGCTCGTTCCGTTCCGGAGTCGATGTCAGCTTTATCGATACGACGAGCAAACACACGCTCGTATGGAACAACTTGTCTTACCAGGCTAGATACCTGGTCTACAACAGCGCAGTTAGCGAATCAGCGGAGCTAGGGGGACAGATAGATGGAGGCTTACGTTGACGACAACAATGCCCGCCTCAGGTGGCGGCAGCCGGGGCAATAGCGGCAAAGAAGGCAGCCAGTATCACGAGCTAAAGAACTCTCTCACGTAGACATATCTAAAAAGACACACATATTATTTCGCTGTTACGGGACGTAGACACCGACCGGTGTTTGTGTACTGCTCAAGTGTACAGAGACTACTTGCCCATCGCCGACCAGTCGTGGCTGGCTGAGCTAAACAGACAGAGCAACGGTGGTCCCTTTCGCCGCTCCTGCCAAGGATCCTTCTTGTGACGAGACTGCCGCTGCCCAAAGTACTAGCAGTCACACGAACTTTGCTGTATATTTACGGAAAGGGGAAAAAAAAAGAGAAAATGAGACCGGCTATATCAGAAACATACGTATCATTATATGGATGTTTGTGTGCGCCGTCGCGTAATGCTGCCCTGCTATCCGTTTGCTTAGATACAATGATACAGTTTCTGTCAAATGAACTCCGTACCTTTTTCAGCCGCGGGAAAACTACTGCGTGGTGGTAACGTTAGTAATAATGACATAATTGTCTCTGCGTAGTGAATTTTCGTTGATATATTGTATCGCCCAGTCTTTCATTGTTATAGTCAATCGGACATAGTTTACCACTGTAGTCACAATGGACTTTTCGACTGGCAAAAGCAACCGTAATAACAACCGAATCATCAGTCGACGTTACGGCCGTAATCAGCACCGATAAACGTTACGTTATTAACTAACTTCTATACTAGCTGTGAACTGACAACGCTAAAGCAAGATGGCCTATAGCTCTACAGATTCGTCGATTTTTCGACCGATAGCCAATATGCGACCACCAACGAAGCGTCAGCAACGGCTCCGGCGGTACAAGCCAGCAGCGCCGAAAAGGTTGTAGAAACCGTATCAACATTTTAGTACGCGTCCGCGGTCGTTTACCGCTCTGTAGCATGATCATCAATATATTTATTATCATTAATCTATTTTGTACGATAACAATCTCTTTGAATTTTGCTATATACTTAACTCGCTACTGTCGTTGATCAACGCCAACGACCACTGACGCTAACTAGACCGACAAGAACTTTTTCCAGCAAATTCATTGCGACATCCCTCTTTTTCATCCGCAACTTTCTGTAAGTTCTATGAAAATGTGACAAATATTACATGTACACGTCTCTTTGTTTAAGAGCGTTTATGTACCACGGTAATTTTCTATTCGCGATAGAAAAGGAAGACCTGTGGGTTGTCAAGAAGCGCGCCTCTTCCCCTGAGATTTTCGGCACAACAACCGACAGCGACGACGAAACCGGCGACCTTCCGTCTTTAGCTGGCGCCGTAATTATCGAATTCGTTGCGTGACAGGGTTTTATGTATAAAAGATCGCTTTTATAGAAAATGCATTTACAAAACGTAGGTACGGCTTGCGGCGCTGCGATGCAGGTTCAAATATGTGTAAATGTCTTCACGCGTATTCGTGACTAGGAAAAAAACGTAATGCCGAATTGCGAGTAACTGCAATCAAAATAAAGCTATCCTAAGTTATCGGGAACGTACACTTCTATCTGTATGTATTTCATGAGCACGTCCACAGCAGCGACCAGAGTCTAATAAATTGCATGATATATCTTTCGCTATATTCGGGCATAGTCAGGGTAAGAAAAAGCTTCCTTAAGGTGAAACATTTACGCACACTATACAAAAAACGTCCTTTACTTAGACGTTCTATTTTACAAGTTTAGCCGAACCCTTTACCGAAAAAGTACTTCTACTCTCCCGCGGCTCAGTGTATATCTAGTAACAGCCAAGCTAAATAACAACAGCAACAGGAGAGTCTATAATTTTAATACTGATACTTGCTCAGCAACCAATGGAAGTTCATATTCTGAAATCATTTAAATTTATACTACTAGCAAATCAGCATTTCACTGATTTTCATCGATCTAAAGGAACATCTCTCATGCGCCGTCAGCTTATTCGGGCAACGGGTACACACAGGAAAAGTAAGCAGACAGGAACGAGCACGGGCATCCAAGACAAGACAACGAATGGCCATAATTCCATTGCCCTATAGGGGCGATAAGAGCTATGCGTCGTCTGCTACGACATGGGTACGTGCAAGTTTCAGAGCTTGCTTACTGATTGAAGTAACAGCTAATCCACTACTCGCTTGGTTTTTTCTAACACGGTCTCGTCCGTGAGGTTCATCACTGCTTCAAGCATCGGCAATGCCGTGTGGCGATAGGTTTGCAGCTTTGCAGCTTCAAGCTGCCTCAGCAATTGGCAAGTCTATCTTTCTTCA